GGTTCTGGGCAGCACAGCCAGACCCTCCCCAAGGGGGTTTTGGGAACAAGGCCAGTCCTCCTCTCCCTTCTCCCACCCTCCTGGGCCTGCCACACTCCCTCCAGTGGCATCTCACACATGGGGTAGTTCTGTGCATGATACAGCAGTGGCAGATACCAGAATTTTTGTTAAAAAAAACCCCCACAATTAGGAAGAACCAATATGAGATCATTCTTAGAAGAGAAAATATCTTTGTAAGGTCACTTCTGAAACCTCTTCTTCCCCTTCCACCCACACAGTGGAATTATCAAGTTTCCAGTAGGTTAAAATGAGAAAAAGGCAAGTTTCACCCTGATTTGGGAGAGTAAAAAATATCGGTGAGGAAGCCACAGTAAAAAGAATTGACTACTCTCACAGCTTCCCCAAATTAAAAACTTTTAAAAAAGGCAACAGTCATTTCCTGGTTCTGTAAATTTGTTAAACAAGCCTAGATATCTCCATACACGATCTGTTAACGTCACAGCAAGTGTGAGAGAGTGGGGAGGGAATGTTTTATACATTTAAATTGTGTTTTTTGTTTTTCTTTTTTCTTATAAAAAGATGCAGCATATGTTAATACCTATACAATTCCCTTCCAGGACAACAAACCGTTGGTCAGTAGTGATTCAGGACATTAAGGACACAACAGAGACGCAAGCAAAACCAAAAAAATTACGAGTCACTTGTCAGTTGTCTGCCAGGTCGAGCATCTGCGCAGGGTTCTCTGTACACAGCTAATATACACACATGCTTCCTGGCACATCCACTCTCTGTTCCTCAGCTTTCCAACACTAGAGCTGCCTTTTTTTTCCCCCTGTCTTGATAAGGAGGAGGAAATGAAGGAGTTGCACCCTCAAAAGGGTATGTACAGCTGAGAACTGGGCCCGTCAGGGCTGAGAAAGGGAGCTGGGAACGAACCGTTCATTCACACGTGCGTGGTCTCCTGGCAGGTGTGCTGGCGCCAGAGCAGAGGCGTATTGCTGAGCCGCGCAAGGTATAGTGTTCAGTTCCAGCCTGATGGCACTCGAGACATGTTTGTTCCAGTGAAATGCTACATTCAGACAGGATTCCCCTTTCCCTGGCCGAAAGCCCTTTTCTGGATATGTTTTTTGAAGGCAAATCTTGGAAGAGCTGAGGTTCTGCACCCTCGCTGTATTGCCTAGGAGAGGGACGCAGAGAACTTCCAGTCCTCTTGGGTCTCTTGCTCCCTTCTTGGAAGATTACGGTCGATGGTACCTAAAAGCCAAGTGAAAAATGCAAGTGTCATCCTTGGAACTCAGGTTAAATGGTTACAGAGGCACTACAGATGGCCAAAAAGAGCAAACAGACTTATCTCCGAACTCTCAGCCCTCAGTGAAGCTGTGAACATCAAACGATTTCACCTCTGCCTCAGAAAGCTCTTGTGCTCTGCAAACACTCAGCTGAGCCACACAGAGCAACTGTTAGGAGAAAGAAACCCCAGGGGCCGTGATCCACAGGTTACTTCCTAGATAATATCTGAGCTAACTACCCAGGTGTTTTGTGTCCATGGTTCCTGCTGCACATGTTTCTGGCCCCACAAAAGCACCCTCCAGCTGCAAGGTCACACTGGTTTCAGATACACGTCAGACCAGACACTGGTCACCTTGAGTTTCCAGGATCAAAGCCCCAGTTTAAGAAAGAACTACTCAATTCATGGGTGCTGCTTCTCCAGTCACCCAAGAACACCAGTGTGGAAAGGGACATTAAATCTCCCACTGCTGCACAGGTCATTTTCTAAGATTTTAGTGTTTTGCCTCAGCACTACCCTGGCAGCACAGCTCTCCTAACAAGACCGGAACGCCAAGCTGGCAATGTCTTCTCACTGACCTCGTGAACTGCTTGCTCTCCTCATGGACTTCCATTTCACAGCTCTTAAACTCATTCAGCTCTTTCCGGATGGCAGCCTACAAAAAAGAGGGAGATATTTTTTAATCTCCTGCTAAGGCATACACACGTAACCCTGTCCCATCTCAAGCGAGCTTAGACACGGCCAGAAGGTGCTGTACCTCCAACACTGCTGCTCGGGGCTGAGCTGTTCTGCCTTTCAGTTCAGAGCAGTTTTGACACTCAGCAAGGCCGAGTTCCACAGCTCCTCTGGTCAAGGAAGGAGCTCAGACTGCAGCAGCCACCCCAGCTTTCGCACTAGGCTGAGTTTAATCAGCCCCACCCCATGCTGAGGGCTGCGCAGTCCCCACAAGCGTCCGGGGAAGAGAAGAACAGATCGCTTCCCTGCCAGCTGCTTGCCCAGGCCTGCCTCAGCCTGCAAGGAACGCGCTCCTCTGACCAACACCCTGTTCCTCACATTCTCTTCTACCACTCCAAAGCCAAGGCAGAGGCCACGCTGGTGGCAGACTGTGCGCCTGTGCTCCACATCACCATGGAGGGGACAGCAAGCAGGGCTGGGGACAGCACACATGGGTGAAGGGATGCTGGTGGTGCTTTGTGGGGTGGTGGAAGGAAAGATGAAGAGGTGAAGCAAAAGGAACAGAGCACATCTCAGCTTGCACTCTTGCATGAGACACCCCGATCTAGTTCCCTCCCCACGCCTGGGGACAGGGCACTCCCTGTTACCTTGTCAGCTGGGGTTAGCTTTGTCCATGGCTTATCTGCTCGCCGGTCGTAGTCTTGAGCATCTGTTACTTCCACATACTCGTTAAACCTCAGGATCTTCCTGGCCTGCAGCTCTGCCACTGTAGGCCTTTGGCTAAGCTGAACACCAGCAAGAAGAAAGAAAGTTAGTTTGTGCCTTGGCCACAAAGAGGTTCAGGACTAAGCATCCCGAGCAAAACTAAAACCAGTTCCCTCACCGTGCCTGAACCACAGATACTATTGGGTCCTGCTCGCACCCTGCAGGGGAACAGGCAAACCATTTCACCAGCAGTATAATCGTGTTTGGAGCACGAGGCCAGGCTAGGGCAGAGCCAAAGCCATGTTGCCAAGGAGAAGGAAGACAGAGCTTTGGGAACAGGGTGAGCCCTGTGTGACACCCCTAAACCAAGCAAGCCCGTTCCCCACTTCAGCAAAGGCAACACTCGCATTTCATACCCACAGACTCTTGGGAAGTTTTTTCCAGCCATGAGTAAAAACCACGACTAACACGAACATCACAGCTAACAGCAGCTGTTGCTCTATCAGCTGCTCCCACACTGCGGTTTCTTTAGAGGTGGGTTTTGGGGAGCCTGGTGTGAAAGTCGTGGCCACTGAAGCACTGTGTTAACAGAGCCAGGCCAGCACCAGCAAACCTTTCAAGTGCCAGCTGCCAAATTTAGTTCTCATCTCACTTGTTACGCTTGATGCCAGCTCAGATCTATCACTGACAAATGCGGCTGCAGTGCCAACGGCTCGCTGTTGGTGACAGTCCCCGTTCCAAAGTCACTGCAGTCAGAGGGCACCGGGGACACTTACACAATAGCCCCGTGACTTCACCCCCAGCAAGGTACCCATCATGCGCTCATAGCCACACCATCCCCGACAGCTCGGCCAGATGGCGATCACAGCACGGCGGCCAGCAGTACCTTTCTGGTGAGCCTGCGTTTGATCTCTCGCTTCTCAGCTTGACGGTCAGCTTCATTTTTCGCTGCCAAGGGGAAAAAAAAATAATTTGTGAGCATCACAAGCTTTGAAAAGTGCTTTGTGGATTTGAACAAAGAAGAGTATTGAGCTACATCAGATTATCTACGTATCTGAAAGCTCATGGTGGCACGTTTGCACTTATTACAGGCAGAGAGCGCGGTCCAACTCCGTACCCTTACCCACCGAGCACCCCCTGACAGTGCCAATGACACAGGAGGAATGAGTCACTCTCTCCAGCCCAGTGCACGTTAAAGATTAATGGCCACACTGTCAAAATACATCCAAGCCACTTTGCAGATGGCTCCTCCCTCCCCAAAGCTATTATACTCACAGTTTAAAGAGAGTAACAGCACAGATAAATATTTTAAATGGAAACTTCCTGAACTGACATCTCCCTTTCCTCAAGATGTTTATTTAAAACTTTTGCAGAGCAAGGTATGGCCAAGAGAAACTCCACTGACTGAGCAATGAACCGCTGCTTTTTGGGTCGTGCAATAAAGTGCTGTAATGTCCGGACCACAACGAAAAGTCCAGCTCAAACAAAACCACCTTTACCAGTCCTTGCTGTATAACATCGGGGTCTTAACCAATTCACGTTTTTCTCCCTGAGGTGACAGGCAGGGGACAGGTAGCCATTCTATAATATTTGAACTGTATGGCTTGGTACCACTGTTAAGGTCTGATTCTATCCAGAGCCAGTTTCTGATGGTAGCAAAGTACCAGGAAAAAATAGTGGAACTGCTTTACTACAGCAATATAACCAAGGCACAGTCCTCCATCCCTACATTTCAAGCAGATTCCAGGTACACCTGAACTAAGATGTTCAAGGCAAACTTATTGTACTACTTAGGATCACTAGAGAAGCATTACTCACGTTGAAGTATGTTCCTCTGCTCCAGTTCTTCTGCTGTCGGTCTCTGACTCAGTCGCCTAAAGGAAAGTGTGACAAGCGTGTAATGTTTTATCTGGTCATTCATCAGCAGGGGATGAAAACCACAACTGTTTAGCTTCAGTGCACTGGAAAGCCTCCTCGACACCCCTCATTCCCAGTGGAGATCACCGCTGCCCTGTTCTGCGCTCTCCTCCTCTCACATAGCCGCTCACCCCCAGGCACGCATTTGGAAGGCGCTATGGCCTCCCAAAAGCTCAGAGGAAACTTTGGAGGGAACTTGAGCAGAGAGCAGAGCCTGGACTATCATCAGCCCCAGCTTAATCCACTGCCTGATGCACCAGCACTCAGCCTGCATCCACATCTTCATCCACCATCCGTACTGTACAGCAGCAATGTACTTTCCCTTCCCAGTCCATTTAACCTCTGGAAACTGGAGCCTGTCGGGGAATATTGCTCAACTCCAGGAGGAACTTCCAACTTTTATAACCAAGGTGGAAAAGCAACACTTCACCTCCCAGCCCTGACCCAGCAGCAGTGCCCACCCACCCATCATATTCCAGCGCAGGCTGCTTGGACAAGGCAACAGCTTTGTCACGTCCCACCCCTCCCACGCTGCGCCAACGGCTCACGCCTAACACCCTCCTCCGTTCCTCGTACCTGATCAACGTCGTCCCAATCTGGTGCCGAATTTCATTCCACTCCTCCTTGCTCTTCAAAAAAAACTCCTGCGGCGTGGTTGCGTTCCCCAGCTTTATAGCTAGCGTGTCTTTCCTCTTCACTTTGTTAGCCAGCGTGCCTGCGGGGAGGAAGAGCAACGAGATGTGACTGAAGACTGCAGTGCCCGAGCACAGCGATACGAGCCGCCTGCCCTGGCAGTGGTGCTCTCCTCTGAGGCTCGCTTTCCAAGCTCTGCACAACAGCTCCAGAGCTAATCGCTACAGCAGCAGCCAGCATTTCTGCCTGATGCCCGCGCGGTCACCTAACGCCATCCCACCTGAAGGGGTGGGACAGCACAAGCTGCTGCAGCAGCCATCTGCAGCTGGAGGGGGTGCATCTCAGCAGGTGAGCATTAGGGGTTTGGCTGTAGAGCCTTTGAAAAAGCGAGGAAGAGGACATGTGGTACGTCATGAAATCAAGAACCAGCTGCTTTGAAGCACTGTGGGAACTGGCTCTTTGATCCAGGTCTCAACACAGCCCGGCACGAGTTCAGCAGAGAAAAAAAGCCAGGTGCAATGTCAAAGCCTTACTGTTATGGCTTTCATCTTCTTCCTCATCCTCGTCATCTTTGTACAGGATGGGCCCCTCCGAGTCAGAGTCGCTCATCCCTTCATCTCCTTCCTGCTCCTCTGGCAGGACTTGGGGTACCAGTTTTGGGATGACTGTGACAGATGGCACATCTCCAATATACACACGAGGGCCTGAATTCTGCTGCTCTTCCTGGTCATCTTCCTCCTCTTCCTCATCGTCTGGACTAACGAGAAGCATGTTATTACATCTCTTAACACATGCCACAGGGGCTGGGCAAAACCCCTGAGCTCAACACCATGTTAGCTCTCCTCAGCCCATGGAAGGCAGGTCTGTGGGGAGCCCAGGAACCAGAGACGCAAGAGCAGCCCCACAATCCCGCACCAACCCATCTCTACAAAGCTCAGGGTGCTCTGGCAGAGGAAACACCAGAGGCAAGTTCTTCGCAGAACCAAACAGCCATCTCACCTCTCTACTCTGGGTTCAACTCTGTTATAATACAAGACAGTCTTTTTCCCACCTCTGTTTTACAAAATGAAAAGCTAAGGCAGGCCACAAATGGATGAAATCCAGGACCTTGTTTTGTCTTAGTGCAATTAAAGACAAGCCTGGATTCCTGGCACCAGCCTGTGTTTGTCGTCTGGAACCCATTTTCCTTGTGAGCAATAAAATCCCAGAACCGGGGTTAATACCATGGGGAAGATGCAATGACCCCCTAAGAGGCTGAAACACAGATTCAGCCAACAGGCAAAAAGGTTTCTAGGCTGTTGCAAAAAAACAGCAAAGGAACCAGCCCTGCCCACAGCCCTCCTCGCCACCACAGCCCCGCGGCCAGAAGTGGGGAGTGTGCCACCAACACGTCAGAGCCCAGCGTGACCCACGCCACGTGCACAGCAGGTACTCACACTTTGAGCATCTCGATGGTGACGGGCAGGGACCTCGCCCTGCCCATGGTGCTGTTGTCTTCTCCAAAGCCATCGTTCTCGAAGAGCAGCGAGTGAGCCCTGTGCGAGCCCTCAGCAGACGGGGTGACGGGCAGAGGACTGGCCAGAGCCTGCTGGATACGGATGTGCAATGGGATTTGGGGCAGGCGAGGCAGCACGTGAGGTTCAAACCCCTGCTCTGCCGTCCTCTTGGACACTTCCAAGGACCTGAAGTCTTCAGTAGGAGGAGGAGGAGTCTCTTTGGGCAGGTCCAGGGAGCGTGGAGGGTCCAAGACAGGGGTGGAGGCAGGCAAGGGCATGCGTGGAGGTTCAGGGGGTATGTGCGTTGGCAGCGGCGGTGAAGGCGAGGGTGGTGGGTAAGCAGAGGTCATGTGTATCGATATCGGAGCGGGGCGGTTAGCTGTCACTGTCCTGTCGTTTGGGGCCTTGGAAGCGATAGCTGACTCTGACGTGTTGCTAGGCAGGAGGCCTCGCTTCGGTGGGAGAGGAGGGGAAGGCTTGGACAAGCCTGTACCACTGTTCATTGCTTGAGAAAGTTCAGCTGAAAATAAAAAACACAAAAGCCGCTATATTAAACAGAGTATTTTCCAGATATCCTTCACTGGGGTGGAATAAGCATGGCAGAGCCCTGGACCAAGCAATCTCTTCTGCTTTTCTGCTACAACATGGTGCCAGAAATAACCAGGTTGCGAGGCTCTAGTTTGTCCTTCCTGCAGCAAAGGTAAGACTTGGGAGAGCAGCCAGAAAGAAGCAGGCTGGGAGAGGTCTGTGCATCCTGCTGCTTTGGAGAGAGAGAAACGGCACCAGCCCTCAAGTGTCAGCAGATGGAGCTCACCCGGATCAGCACACTGCCTCAGCCAAGGAATGCAGGTATGTAGGGCGCTTTATAGCTATTATTTACAGCATCAGCTTGCAAAGGAATCCAAGACATCCAGGACACTCCAGCGTCCAGTTGTGGCAATGGCTCCCTTGCACATTAAAAAAACTTTTTTGGGAAATCTCACTCAAAGGCAACAGTCAGAACTGCAAGCAGCACTGTGCTCTCCCCTTTTCCACTCACCTGCCAGACCCAGCCCAAGAGCACCTCGCTGCCAGCAGCTCCTGCCTGTCCGAGGATGAGGTTCTGCTCTACTCCCTCTGCACTCTGTTCCTGAAGCCCCATATAAGCTTCTCCACAACTACAAAATAACTATCAAAACTTCCAAAAATACCAAAGGACCTTGAGTCTACACAGGGTTTCTCTGCTGTGTGATGGAAGAGAGAGGGAGAAACGGACAAAGCCTGAAGCAGGCAATCCTCAACACCCCTCGGTTCCTAGGGAAGAAGTTGCAGCAGTGAAGACCGTTCTTGCTTTAGGAGTTTGTAGCCTTTAACATTTACGGATCAACAGCTTCTTGGGCTTGGAAAGGTTTCGCCCACCTGCTTGAAGAGGATCAGCTTTACTGCCCATTTCAGCTGGAGCAGTGATGGTCACACCGCGGTGGCCCCAGCACTGAGCTGGGAGGAATCCGCAGGACCAGACACCGCAAGAGGGTGCTGCAAGCAGGGAGTGTTCCCCGAGATAAGGCTGCATAGCTGCAGAGAGGTGGGTGCATTTTTGGGATGTTTCGCATTTTCAGACTTTCCCCTTGTAGATTAAGGGCCAGATTGTGCAAAACACTGAGTGCCCTCAGCTCCCATCAACTTCAGCTCGGAGGGATTCCAGTGTCTCCCCAGCAGTGCTCGAAGCCTGGCAGGACCAGGTGGGAGTCACCTTTGGGTAATGACAGACAGGTTTTGAAAGGGACCGAGTAAGTGGCAGAAGGAAGAAAAGACAGAAGGGCTGGGTGCTGCACTCAGAACATCCTCCTGAGCCAGCCCGTCTCCCTTCGGTGTGATAAACCCAGTGCACCAACTGGTACAGCCTCTTGTGACACGCCACTGTGGCCAGATCCAGTGCTGTGGCACAGGCTGCAGGAACTGGGGCTCCCGAAACCCGTCAGCGGCACCAAGCACCAGGGCTGACGCCAAGCTGCCAGCCAGCGAGACAGCACTGTTTGCCCTGCTTGGTTTTTCAAGCTGATGCTGATTAAATTCCCTCTCTCCAAAAGCATTTCCTGAGCCTTATTTCCATCAGTCACACCAGAACTGCTCAGAGAATGAACACATGGGAACATCTTCACAAGGGAACAAAGGGGCGATCTGCACAATTAACAGCCCTCCCCTGCCTTAGGTTATGACAGCAGCAGGAGAACACAGAGCATGCATCAAAGACCTGTGGAGAGCTCACGAATCCAATTCCACTGCTGTTCTTCATCCACAGCAACAAAACAGGCTCACACAGCAACGACTGTGCACATCCCACAGTTACAGCTCCATTGTGCCAGCCGCAGGGCCCCGCAGAGCTGCAAAGCCTCTCTCCACATCTGCATTCTCAACCAGGAGACAAAAGAGGGGCTGGCTGCTCTCCTCCCCTCCCCTCCACACCCCTGCGGCTGCAGGTGCGCCGAGCCCAGCCCTGTATTGTCAGGGAGAGGGGCAAGGCTGGGTCTGAATGTCTGTTTGATAGACTGCGGTCTTCAGCCACATTTTTTTCCTCCACGAGTACCTCCTGCAATTAGCGCTGGGGCATTTCAAATACCATCTGTGATGTGTGCAAGCAGCTTAAAAGAAAACAAGAAAGTATTTCATGGAGTGCTCAGGCACAGTCAGGCTAATCAAGCTGGGCTGGCACACAGGAGTGGTTAATACCATATCAAGGTCACTTGCAAAACCTGCTGGAGCAAGAAGAAGCCCCAAGCAGAACAGAGATGGAGTTTGTACCGAGAGCAGTGGCCCAGGCTCCTTCAGATGGTAACTTGCACACCATCTCAGCTTCTACCACTGCCTCCCAAAGCACACCTGGGTAATGCCTCCGGTTTCTGTGATAACAGCGCAGACCTGGCTGACTGGTCTTCCCAGGAAACTCCCTCCTGATCTGAACTAGCCTCTGCTAATGCTATCCAAAGATTAGCAGGTGGTCTGTGAAATATCACCAGGCCATCACTGGATGGAAGCTGTCTCATTTACTCCAGCAATGCTGCATCTTTAAGGCCTCTCAAATTCCTAAAGAGAGCAGAGACTCATTCAGCTTGAAGAAACTCTCCCCAGATCTTCTGCTTAGAAAAGTTACAGAGATAAAGATATTGAATTTAGGTGGGAAGATTGGGCTCAAATTACAGCTGAGCTGGTCTGCTCATGGGACAAAACCTAAGGACAAGACTAACATGGCAATACCCTAGCCACAGACCTTAGAGAAGATGCTTGAATATGACCAAGGAGTTCTGAATGATCCCTGCCAGCTCCCAGCCTCTCCGCACTAAGCGGAAACCACATGGCCCAGCAGTGACTGCTGTAACAGACACTGTTTGGCGTGATGTGGATTTTTTGGGCTTTTTTTTCTTTTCTTTTTTTCAATTGCAAAGACCATCTGAAAGCATCAGTTCTCAGTGACTATAGTCTCACCAAGCAAAATTCTCATACACTGTCTTACAGTTGACAGAGGAATGCCTTCCCCTCTCCTTGCACCGCTCCCACTCCTGCCAAAAGCAGGCAGGGATTCCCTCCTGCAGGCAGCTGTTGGAAACACACATCTAACACATCGGACGGCTGACGGCAGAAGACTCCAGTTATTACCTTGTTCTCAGCACATGTGTTGCCTGGCTAAACCCGGGTAGATCTGCTGAGTCCAAACTGGACTGTATTCAGGAACGACGGTCAGACATTCATGATACAACACCTGCGACATCGTACTAAAAATCTTCCGTTACAAAGGGAGCAAGGGCTCCAGAACATCCCAGGGTACAAAAACTAGCTTATGGAGGAGGCACTTACCTATTACTGAGTTGCTATTTCTGTTGACGGGTTTGGGAGGAGGGACGGGAGGCTGTTTGGCAGGAGCTGTGCTGGTTGTACTCGTGGGAGCAGTAGTGTTGGCACTGGAAAGAGCAGGGGGCAGTGTCCTGGGGGCTGGGGAAGGGGCAGCTGTGGAATTCACTGTCTTTGCTGCAACAGGGGCAGTGGTGGAGGATGCAGTTTTTGCAGTGCTGCTGGCAGGCGTTGGGTCCTTCGCCTGCGCTTCGTTTGCTTCTTGGGAAGTGGAAGGAGGTCTTTTTGGAGGAAGCAGAGGCTGTCTGGACTCCTGAGGTGGTTCCAGTTCGGGCCCAGGTTGGCTGCTGGATGAGCCTGCAAAGTGAGACAACTCGGTTCAAGAGACCGGAGGACCCAGAGGGGAGTGGGAAGAACCAGATGAGAATTCAAAACAGGTCCTGGGGAGAATCTGAAGCAACCAATTCTGAACACATCTGGTTTCTTACCCTGCCTTTTCTTTGGTTCCTCAGCTGGAACAGGCTTCCGAAGGCTAGATGGCTTTGTGGCCTCTTCTTCCTGGCTGGCCAGGTTACAAACCCCGGGACCACCGATTGGGACTGTGTGGCCATTCTTCAGTGCAGGTGGGTTCAGCTTGTCTGGTTCTTCACCATCTACAAGGGGACGGGAGGGGACAGAAGCAAACGGAAAACACTCAGAAAGCAGGAGAGAGAGGAGACAGGGCTGAACTGCCATCGATCCGCACCAGCTTCTCTCTGGCTTCTGAAACAGCCGGGCTTCAGCCCACCTTCTGCAGAGGAGAGCACAGCAACACAACCAGCTGAAGCTGAGAGCCCTTGATTTCATTGTCAACAAGAAAAACAGCACAGCACTGTATCCCATCAAGTGTTTTCCTTCTTCAGCAGCCTCTTAATCTACTGCCTTGTTTAGAAGGAATGTTACTGCATTTAAGACTAGTATGCCCAGTGCTGTGCCACAGTCCAAGGAAGCCACAAGCACAGTTTAAAACCTCCCGCAACTTCTGTACCTACCCACCACTACAGCGCATTCACAAATTCTCTGCTGCAATACAAATTCCAGCACTAGCCAAGTGAACTACTGGGCATGCAATAACAGATTTTGATTAAGTCTTAAAATTAGTTGAAGCACCTCTATGTTCTTTCTGTTTCTGCCCTGAATTTGTCACAAAAATCACTGCTTTACCCAAAACATCCCACTGCAAGGCCTATTTCCTCACTTTTTAACCTTTGTAATGATACATCTCCACAATCTGATGTAGTTCATCTCCACTATTTCTGTTTTTACAGATAGAGGTTCCCAAATGTTAGAAGCAAGACCTCTTTTGGAAAAATACCCATCCTCCTTTCAGCCCTGCTTTTGAGAGCACCTAAAGCCCTGGTCACAATGAGGAAATACTCAACCATTCTCTGCTCCTGTAACTGCCCTGACAGGACAAACTCTTGTTAATATTATTCCCAAAATCAGACTTAGCATCCACTCTAATGGGGCACTGCCCATTTTGACTGCTTTCCAACTCAAGAATTAACTTCAATAGATACATCACCAATTTGATTAAAAATCCATGGCATTTTCAGTCTACTATTTCTCAAGCAGCTGTGGTGTACAGCGTCATGACCCCCCCAGGTGTCAGACCCCAGTGTGCTCTGCTGCTCTGATTTTTGATTATTTATTCCACTGCCCTCTTCACCTCTCCCTGCCCCCTGAAGCTCTTACCTCCCCTTCCCTAACCTGGTGTTATTCAGAAGCCAAAAGCAAAGATGCCAAGAAGCCAATAGCTCTCCAGGCTTTTTTTCTGCAAAAAATACCCTTGGTTCCTGAGCAGAGATGGAAGACCGTGCTGCCTCTCTTGCTTAGCTGCCCTTCCCTGAAATGCAGGACGTACAGACAGCAACAAGAGGGAGTTTCTTCCGCAGCCAGGGCTGAAACTCAAGAGATGAGCCGGAGCTTTTTATAGCAGCACTGCCTCTGGCTAGCTGAAGCCTGCAGCAAGGGAGATGGGAACAGTATGATCCAGCTCTCCTTACCCTCAAACCTCGCATGCCCTTCCCTGGCAGGGAGCTGCAGAATGCTCCTGATGGCTTTCTCGCACCACCTCGCTCCTGACTTCAGTTCCAGTGACCTCCTTCGAGGTCAGGACAGTCCAACGCTATCTTCTTTCCTTACTGGGAGCCCAGCACAACCTGCTGACCACCAGCCCGGAGAGCAGCAGTGCCTCTGCTCCCTGCTGCATTGGGTTTGAAACCCTCCACTACGCCTCTTCCTTACCTCCTCGCTCACTCGTCTCGAAGGCTTTCCAGCATTTTTTCCACTCAAGAACTTGCCTAAGAAAATTAACTGACCTTGTACAAGCAGGTTTTAAAATTGCAGGCAAATACAATAACCTACCACCACCATCCTATGACCGCCCCAGTGTCTTAAACTCATAGCAGGGATGAAGATAATGAGTTTTCTAATCTGACCCTCCTGACAACGCCGACTGCTCCCTCACACCGTGGGTTTGCGCTTTGGCCAGATTATTGCCATCTTCTGTTCCTTAAACCGGATCAGCTGACTCAAAGCAGAAAATAATTCCGGCTCTTAGCCATGCTCCTGTTACACCCTCACGGTTTGGAAGATCTCTCCTCTGTCATCTCTAGTTGGAAGTTTGTTACCCAAAGCCTTTGATCTCTCTTCCACAGTTTCATCCTGTCACCTCATCCACTTTTGCACCCCAGTGAACTCTTCCTCCAGCCCAGCGCTTCCACCCTGGGGTGGCTCTAGATGGCTTTCATTACAGTGCAGCTGCAAACAACCACGTTGGGACTTTTCCTCTCAGTTTTGTTTCCACTAGTTTGGTCTAAACACCACTTTTTCACCTTTTTTGCATTTTTTTCATCTTAGAAGAGCCCTGAAATTTGCATGAGGTTAAGGCTGCCCCCGCAGCACGCCTTTTGAGGGACAACCATCCATTGCTCTAAGCCAAAGACCACGCGCTACCCCCCAGCCCGCTGGGCTGCTCTCCCACCACGTCCCCCCCCTTCCTGGTACCCACACCACCCAACATGCAGCCAGGTGATGAGATGGGGAACTGATCTGCCTGAAAAGTTATTTTAGCAGGATGGCCCCAACTCAGAGACACCAGGGATGACAGAAAAGGGGGTAAGACTCATTTGACAGCAGGACAAGCTTCAATAAGCTTAGCCGTGACTAACGATGACACCATGAAACATGTCATCTACAATGCTTTGAGGAAATGCATCTGCCCAGGCAGCTTAAAAGTAATAAATTGTTTTATTTTTTACTTTTTCCAAGCCCAAGGCCTTCAAACCTGAGCTCCAAGGTCAGCAGCTCTCCCGCAGCAGTGAGAGTGCAGTTAGAGTGTGATCGGAACAAGTTGGAGATGGTGAGCAGAAGTGTGATGGAGAAGCTTAACAGGACAAGACAGCTGCAGTGGGACATGTACAAGAGCGACAGGATAGGAAGTGACACAGAGAACAGCCCTTCCCTCCCCGCTGGCAGCAGACAGGAAGATGTCCAAGACAGGCATTGCGCTTTCTTAGCAACATCTTCCCAACCGAACAGGCTGCCTTCCCGGCCAGGTGCAAAAGCCAGACGAGAGAGCGGATCGAAAAGGGCAAGACAGACAGGAACCACGTTAGCAAAGAGCCCTTAAATTTGTCTCCCAAAAAAAGCATGGCTGCAAGGGTGAGGTTTTGCCAGAGGAAGATCAGCTACACAGAACACAGACAGGAGGAGAAGTTCATTTGCAGACTCACCCTGCTCAGGGTCTTCCAACAGAACCCCTCTTTTTACCAGCTCCTCTCTTGGCTTTCGCATAGAAATCTTTCGTTCTAAAACTGATATTAAATTGAAAAAAAGCACTCAGAAAACACGGTAAGCTAAAAGTTCAAGAAGATACTACTTTTTTTTTTAAAGGGATCCTCTGGAAGAAATAAAAGGGCTTCAAATTTCACTGTTTTTGCATGGATTAAGAGGAGGGAGGAGGGACTGCACGTTCAGGCCTGCACCTCACACTAGACAGGCGATCGCGGAGCAAACCCTCCCTCCCCACGGCTGCTTGGGAAGGTTCCTTGCAAGAAAGGAATTTGTTTGTCTGAAACTACTGCTCCATGGCAAGGTGTTTCTGGAGAGACTGCAGGTGTCAGCCCACCACCAAAGTCACATTCGGGTTCTTACACACATCAGCGCTCAGGCTTGTGCCAGCAAGCCCCTCTCACTGGCCAGATGGCTAACGGCAGGTTTCCCAAGCGGAGGAAGGGACTCCCACCCAGCCCCAATTTTACTCTACCTTCTGAAGTCTCTTTACCTTCTGAAGTCTCTTTAAATTTGTCGCTGCTTTTCTTTTTCCTCCACTTCCAAGGTTTGAAGATCTTGCCAAAGCTCGAGAACTTGCTTTTCCTCTTCGTCGGAGGTGTGGTGTCCCCCGATTCCAAAACGTCTACCCCCATGCTGGCATCAGCTGGGGGGTGATCCGCCTCTTCGGCTGCACAGGAAAGAACAAACACGTCACCTTTGTGCTGGGGAAAACAGCTGCCACCTCCCACCAGCCTGCCCCTCGCACACCGGGAAACGGTGGCACACGTTCATGCAAAGAAGGTAGCAAGACTCCATGCCTTCAGGTAACCCGTCAGCGTTCCACATTAGCTCAGGGAGACAAGAGTGGGGTTTCCAGAGTTAACGGTGCGAAGGGGGAACAGAGAAGAGGCATTTCTAATGGAACAAGGATTAGTTTCAATTTGCAGCGTCACAGTATCACCCAAGGAACACAAATCACTCTGCTGCAGTTTCTCATCTCCAGTTGGAAGCGACTGGTGCTAGACACAAGTAATTACACGAACACAAATACCTTCCAGACTGCAGAGCTGACTTTCACGACCGTCTACGCACTCTGAAATTACCAGACCCATTACAACAGCTGCATGTGCTAGAACTTCGCCTCCCTGATTTTTCCCTCTATAAATAAGGCCAGCGACGCCAGCCAAGAGCAACAACTCCACAGGAAAGCAACACAATACCGGCCTGCGCTCCACCTACTGTACTCCATGTCTCTGGAGAACAACACAAGAAGGACACGGAGGCGGGAAGGGACACATGCAAAAAAACCCCAACTTGCTACAAGAAAAAAAAAAAACATCTCATAAAGAAACAACTTGCAGAGCAGAACCAGAGCACAGAACACTGTGCTGGTGACTGTCAATTCTGGCTTGCCTGGTGTTGCTGTTTTCCGAGTATCCGATGAAACATAAGGGAACACTTACAATCAGCAATGCCTGCAAAAAAATAAAAATCAGAGCGCTAACAACCTAAGTGAAGCCAGCTGGTTGCCTGCTTCATGGTCTTAAATTTACAGAGCGAGAATCCCTCGGCTTCAGCACTGCAAAAGCCAGGAGCACCCCGGCTGGGTCGCAAAGCTCTGCGCAAACACGCAGCGGGGAGAACAGAGCCTCGAGACTTCCCGCAGCTCTACGGTGCCGTCCTGCTCACCGCCGCGCACCGCGGGCTGAGGCACAGTGTTACAAACTGCACTTGTATGTCTTCTTTTTGAGCCTTTAAGTCAAATGTTCTGGAGCTTGCAAGCCGCCTGGGATCACAAAAGACTTTTTAGTCAACTTCAGACAAGCCTGTATGACGTGCCTGCAGAAAAGACAATACCCCGTAGGCCACGCAGAAGGTTCAGCCAAGAATCCCATCTCCGGAGGCTACGGGATTGGGAAAGGAATTTTAGGGGAAAGCCATTCTGCACACATGACAAAGAGCTAATAACGTATCCACGATATCCTACAAATATCCACGGAGGACACAGACCCAGATGTGAAAAAGCAGATTCTTGTCAACACAGGGAAGAGCAGATTCAGGACAAGGGGAAAAAAACAGAGAGGAAAAAATGAGGTGGAGCTCTACCTGCAACCCTGTAGTGCTGGGCTGGGGACAGGCTGTCACCACCAGTTTTCAGTCTGAGCACAAGTTAAATGGAAGATCGCTAAATAACAGGGAAGAGAAGAGCGAGAGAGCACCCGAGCTAGCAGCACGAGGGAAACCAGAGTACTTCAGGAGGAGGATTGGGATCACACGCAAGAAGCGCAGTCTTTAACCAAATGGTGGAGGAAGAAGAAAACCAGCCCAGGACTCCAGGGAAAAAAAAAAAAAAAAAAAAAAAGGCTTTTCAAAACTAATTGTGGCCATTTCAGACTTTACCTAAAATTACCTCCAGCTCTGTACAGGTTTCTCTCCTCTCACTCATGGGACTCCAGATTTTACACAACAGTGGTTCATGGGGTTTTTCTGTTTGGTTGTGGTTTGGTTTTGTTTTTTAAATCAGTCCCCGAAGAGAAAGCTCACTCAGAACCACTGAAACGCTGATCCCAGCCAACATTTATTTGAAAAAGCTAGATCAATTCAGCATCTGAGCTGCTTCTTAAAAAAAATCTGGCTTCATAACAGGAAAGAAATTGGCTGGAAAATAACATACAAGGTGTCAGCACCGATCCACGATTTTCTGCAGCTCTATTCTGTGATTTTCTGCTGGGATGGAGGGAGGGTAGGTGGAAGTAGAGACACAAAAAAACGGCGTTTCAAGCTCCCAGAAACCCAAGAGGAATTGTCTGGATGTTTAGAGGCACTTTCTTCAGTGACTAGAACATTAGACCCGGAGCTGTACATGTAATTTTAAAAAGCAGCATTCACTTTGTTCAACTGAGCGTTCCCAAAGTTTACCGGGCAGGCAAGACCGCTTGCCGGGCACAAGCTGTGGACTGAATTTGGATCCCAAGTGCCACGCAGAGGCACTTCCCTCACCTCTCCAAGGAGCAGTAAGAGCGCTGAAGGCAGTCGTACCAAGCTCACCTCATATAGATCCCTTCTCGGAATTGCTCTCAGGAATGTAACTTATGTGCTGTCTGCCACCCAAGGCGTCGGAGTGCTGCCTAAGCAAAATGAGTTATTAAAAGAAAACTCAACCACATCAGGTCCAGGGATTAATGAGCAGAGACCTCAGCAAGCTGTGATGTCTCCATTTCCAATTAGAGGGAGAGCGACAAGCATCGTGACCACAGCCACCTCCGAGCAGCTCCAGAGGAACAGAGGACAGGAAAGGATGGGTGGAAACTGCAGGAGACACACAATATCCCCAAAACAGGAGCAGCTAAAAACGGGGAGGGTGGGGGAGAGCCCACATGTGAGTTTGACTCCAGGTGGAAGAACCTCTTCCAGCAGCTCCTGCAGTCCAGGTCTGGCTGTCGAATCAAATACCATCTCAGGGTGGAGTTTCACACCAGGTGCCTGGCTGCCATTAATTGCAATCACGCAGGTTAATACAAAAGCTGGTTTCACAATGACAGGCAGCATCGATATCGGATAACTCTGCTCTTGCTCCTCTGCCATGCTGCTCCATCAGCCGCGCTTCCAACTGCTCCTAGGCTTGTGCTGCGCATCAGCTCTGACCCAACACGAAAACACTTGGTCTTGCTGTTTTATTATCTGTTCTGTGTCTAAAAACAGCCACACAAGAGGGGAGAAAGGCACACCATGCACCCCTTCATAGCGTAAAACCAGTCGAAAACATTTTGGCCACCTCTTTTGCTCTGCATAGAATAAAACTTGATACACATTACTGAACTGTGAACCTCCCAAGAACACTGCAGCCCACCGGCTGATACTGATCCCAGGAAAGCAATTTCCCTCCCCTGCACAAACTGGGATTCATTCCGTCCAGTTCCGCAGCACAGGCTGCTCATGGAGAGCTGGTCGTGCCCCAGCCCCTTCCACTCTTCCTTTCACCACACACAATTACCAGGTGGACATAGACACTTAAAACAGCCTGTTGTGATGCAATTATGAATTGCATTTACTGCTAATTAGCAGGTGGCTCAGCAGCTGTAGGTGTGCTTTACTGATGGGTATTTTAAATAAGCTCATTGTTCAGTGATTGCTCACATTAGATAGTGCTCACACACCCTGCAGATGGACCTTTCCTCCATTCACAGCCCATTTCCAGCTCACATTTCCAGCTCATGATTTCCATTTCTTGCCCAAGCTGCCTTCACTGTGAAGAGAGCCTCAGCCAGGTGGATTCTCTGCTCTGCAAGGTACAGGGGGGTTGCTAAGCTGCTTTGCAATGCAAGGCAGAACCCCCTCCTTATCCCAGTCACGTAGTGGGAAACGGCTAAGGAACCATAGCACAGCACTTGGGGAAAGAAATGGGGGGGGGAGAAAAAGAGGGACCAGACTTTAAGGGAAGAGTGAGAGGCATCAGGAAGCTGATGTCCTCCCCTGAGCAGCTCCTGCTCAGCACCAAAGGTGTTTACCTGCATGGCAGGTCCGTGTCCAAGAGACCAGCCTCACCTCCCTGTGGTCCAGGCTGGAAAACCCATTGAACAGTTATGGAAAAGGTGAAATGAGGTCATTCAGGTGAACCCAGGGGAGTCCTCATGAGAAGGTCAAGAGCTTTCCAATAAGCAGGTCCCTCACGTGTCCCCGTGCCAAAGCATGACCCTGTCTAACCTTTCTGCAAGAACTACATGAAGCACCACCTTCGGAAAAGTGACCCTGAAGTTGGGTAGAGCCCACCCCGATGGCAGCACACCATGCCTACTGCACTGGTGAGACTCCAGAATACAGCATCCCCTGCAACCTCAGCACATTGTCCAGGCACGCGTGGGTGCTTCTCCTCGGGAAGATGTCCTGGAGCACTTAACCTGGGGGACAGACCCCCAGGACCCAGCTGGTTTCAGGGGGAGCTGTGCCCTGGCTGCCATCTCCAGCCTGCTGCCGGTGCAGAGCTTCTCTCTCCAACATTTAACACCTTCTGATCCTGTTCCACCAAAACAAGCAGGTGAATTGGAGCTGTTTAAACAGCAGATTTGTGTTAACCCAAAATGTTTAGACTGAAATAGTCTAGGGAAACGTCACAAAATTGGCACAGCCCGGAGACACAAGGCGGCAGGAAGCTCCGGCAGTGCCAAGCAGCTCGGGATACGATTCTCCACCAGTACACCCGGCCAGCTGGTCTTTCAAACCCTCCCGCTGCAGACTGCTACACTCAAGGCTTGCTGTTAAAATCCAGGCAGAAAAAAAGCTCTTCTCCCACTGCACCTTGTGTTAGGTACAAACTGTCATGGAAGAACATGGGTGGTGTTGAGCTGCTCCTGCAATGTTTCTGGGTTGGGTTTTTTTCCCCTTTTCCTTTTTTATTTTTTTTCCCCCAGAGAAGAAAAACCATTTCAGTGGAAGAAGCTGGAGGCTTGCAGTTGGTCTCCAAGCTCGCCACGCAGTCAGCAAGTGGCTGCGGTGCTGCGTGTGTCACCTGCTCCCAAAGCTTTTGTCAGGCGCGGGGCAGCCGTTGCTGCTGAAGATGGGAAAGCTTTCCCTGCTGCTCACCACGGGTCAAACCAGCGGAGCCAGGACCCGCAGGGTCAATTAAAACCACCCCACGTGTCCACACCACTGCCACGCACAGGGACGCTCACAACAGCAGGCAGCTATCTAGCTGCCCTTTAGGAAATCTCAACGTACAGACGTAAGGGTTTAACGGTCACAGCGTGGTCGAAGGGAGGAAAAGCTGCTACATGAGCAAATAGAGTTAAACCCCAGCTCCAGAGATCAAGCCCCAGAGTACCCTCCTGTAGAGAAGTGAACCACCAGCCTAGAAAAAGGCACAGGAGAGACTTCAGGTACCAACACGAATAACCAAAAACCCTTTCCTTCACTAAGGACCATCTCTCCTAGGGGGAGATAACTGCAACGGTACAGGAGACAGCAGCACCTCTGATGCACATCATAAAAAAAAAAATGAAACCCAAGCTGCATCTCATGTAGGTCATTGCAGAATTAGTCCTGGGGAATTTTTAAACCACTTCAGCTCAGGCCACACACCATCAAAAGCCAGCATGGCTGTGGAGAAGTTTATTTTGTTTTTACATAAGCTGAAAAAAAAAAAAAAATCACTTCAAGATCCAAATTACAGACCCTAACAAAGCAAGACCGAAGGCTGTGAAGAAATCAAAGAACTGCATCCCAGATGCTGACAATTCCTATTATAATGCTATATGCCTGCGAGGGGAACTACTGATTTCCAGCCTTCATGAAGAAAATGGCACAATCCTTTAGGACGAAGGGTCAGTGAGCCCCAGGACAGGGCTGCAGACTGAAGCTGTTAGGAAAAGCCTGAGAACATGCTGCTTTTCTCCCGAAATATCTCTGCAGACATCCAAGAGTTGGTGGAGCTGACTCTAGCTCCAAAAGAAGATGCTCCTCACCGCTGCCTGCACGGCACCAGGCTCTTTACCCCAGTCCTTTTCAGAGAGGTTAAGATCTGTTAAATTCTATCTTTATTAAAAGACATCCTCACAAAGGAAACAAGAAAATTTTTTGCTTTGTAACAGGACTTGCACAGTGTGTAAATCATGAGCTTGAGCCAGATTCCTTCCATCTGCAAAGCACAGTCCACCCAGAACCTGGTCCGTCTCTTATCGTAGCAGCTACTACGGGATTTCCACAAATCCCAGGGGTTTCTGTTCACAAGGAGCTCACCAGGCGTTGGTCTGACAGTCATAGCCTGGAGGCTCACAGGCAGACAGAACTGCTGCAGCAAAAAAGTGTCAAAGCTGAGCTGAGAGCTAAGAAAGCGCTCCAAGAAATCAGGCACCACGCAGCAACTCTGACCGCTTTTGCTCCATCTCCTGCATTCTCCTGCATTACACATGCACCCAAAATTCTGCTTTCACAAGGCCAAAAGGTGTATCAGGAGCTTTTGCTGAGAAGGTGGCTGCTCCCTACCAGCCCAACCCTGCGGTACCTTGGGAAGCGGGTCCGGCAGCACAGCCTGGACCTCGGGCTGCACGGGACCGGCTGCGGCGCAGCACCGAGCCTGCGCAGGATCCTCGCTGCAGGACAGCAACAAACCCTCCTGTTGCCAAAACAGTGTTGATGCACAGGCTGGAGAATAAATAATTCAGCTCCCTCCTCTTCAGCTTTGCTGTGATGGGCAGAGCAGGTCAGAATCCAAAAAGCTTTCAAGCAAACAGCTACAACCCAAAAAAGCAAACAAAGGCTCTTTTGAGGGAAATGCTGTTAAAGGTTAAAGTATCAAAAAGCACTTTAGGTAAAATGTTTCTAGCTTCCTATAACAGCTTTCAAAACTTCACGGGCATTTCCTGAATGGTCCAGGGAAGACGTGAATCCTGACCTTAAAGCAATAAAAGGCTGTGGTCACAAAACCGCCTCAAACAGTCCCAGCCCTCAGCTTCCCCATCTTTTGTACGTTTCTCATCACCATAATCTTCACAAGACTTTTCAACAGCATCCTGCCAAAGTTAATGTGAGAACCATCTCCTCAAATTCAAAAAAAAAAGCAACTATGCAAGCTGTGCCGTGAAAAAAAGACTTCATGCAGCAACTGACCGTTTGTGGAAACACCCCATCGGCTGGCTTCCAGACTCCAGGAAAGGACAATGTCACTACACCAGGCGAGCCCACTCCCCTGGAAACTGCCATCATCGCTGGTGCACGATGAGG